CGAACCTTTTGGAAGGCCAAAAGGTTTTATTGAGGCAAGCTGAATGCAGCGGCCTCCTTGACATTGACATAGGAAAGAGAGACGATCAAAGACCTTCCGAACTGAATTCCATTTACCCCACATTTCTTTGTCACCACTCTGTTAACGCGTGTAAATTTTGTGCTGAGTGGCTCTGTCAGGAGATCAAAGGGAAACTACCTGTTAACAGTGTTTAGGCCCTGGAACCGAAAGATTTATCAGTCGTAAAACCATTCTTTTAACCAGTTAATTATCCACAAGCATGTTAACTTAGGACCTCTGTTTAAAATCTGAGGAATTGAAGTGTGGATGAACAGAGGGTCTTGGTCAGTTGGATGCGTTTCACCTTCTGAAAGTAGCCAATGGCCATCCCTAGCTTACAGAAATCACTGTCATGATGCGAGTGCACTCATCCGTCGTTCAGTCAGGGTCAGCAGGCCAGACGTCCGAAAGCAGTGCTCGAATCTCACCGGGGGGCTCCTGAGACGGACACCCACGAAAAGTCCCTGTTCTTGGTGGGGGCGCAGGCAAGCAGAACGGGAAATACAAAGCCAGAGTGTCAGGAGGCGCTTGGGAAACGCTGCGACAAGCGGGGAGAGCAGAAGGAATTGGAAAGCCAAAGTGTCCCTGCCATGTCCGCAGCGGTCTCCCATCTGCGCCCAGCCGGGCCGCACCCTGCTTAGCTTCCGGGCTGCGGCGCTGCCCTGGCGGCGTCCAGGCCTCAGGACGGGGATAATCGGGGCGGGAAGCCTAAGCCGCAAGGACAGAGCCCCCGCCCCGGCGCCGCGGGTGGCCCCCAGTCCAGACCCGGCCGGGTCTCAGGACGCGGATAATCGGGGCAAGGGAGCCTGAGCAGCGAGGACACAGCGCCCGCCCCGGCACTGCTCAGCTCGCGACTCCTGCTCAGCTCCCAACTCCTCCTCAGCTCCCGACTCCCACTCAGCTCCCGACTCCTCCTCAGCTCCCGACTCCTCCTCAGCTCCCGACTCTTGCTCAGCTCCCGGCACCTGCTGAGCTCCCAACTCCTCCTCAGCTCCCCACACCCGCTCAGGTCCCGACACCCGCTCGGCTCCCGAAACCCGCTCAGCTCCCGACTCCCGCTCAGCTCCCGACTCCCGCTCAGCTCCCGACTCCTCCTCAGCTCCCGACTCCTCCTCAGCTCCCGACACCCGCTCAGCTCCCGACTCCCGCTCAGCTCCCGACACCCGCTCAGCTCCCGACTCCCGCTGAGCTCCCGACACCCGCTCAGCTCCCGACTCCTCCTCAGCTCCCTGCACCCGCTCAGCTCCCGACTCCAGCTCAGCTCCCGACTCCTCCTCAGCTCCCGACTCTTGCTCAGCTCCCGGCACCTGCTGAGCTCCCAACTCCTCCTCAGCTCCCCACACCCGCTAAGCTCCCGACACCCGCTCAGCTCCCGACTCCCGCTAAGCTCCAGACACCCGCTCAGCTCCCGACTCCTCCTCAGCTCCCCACACCCGCTCAGCTCCCGACACCCGCTCAGCTCCCGACTCCTCCTCAGCTCCCTGCACCCGCTCAGCTCCCGACTCCTCCTCAGCTCCCTGCACCCGCTCAGCTCCCAACTCCCGCTCAGCTCCCGACTCCCGCTCAGCTCCCGACTCCTCCTCAGCTCCCGACTCCTGCTCAGCTCCCCACACCCGCTCAGCTCCCGACTCC